TAAAAAAAAAAAAGGCACCCCAGCTTTTTTAACTCCATGGTGCTAGTCACAGGAGTTTCCTGAGAGTGGGGCCTGAGGGTCATTCAGTTCTCTTCCTGCCTATCTCCTCTACTGTCGCTCCCAAGAGTCTCAAGCCGTCAGGGTTCTGATTCTTCCCCCACAATCCATGTGTCTCCCTGCTTCTCCTTCACCTCCTGCTCCTGCTCCTCCTCCTCTTCCTCCACCGCCATTAACTCCTCTCCTCCTCTTCCCCAATCCTTCCCCATCTCCACTTCTTCTTCTTTCTTCTTTTTACTTTTTTGGGGGGGAGCACACCCAGTAGTGCTCAGGGCTTACTCCTGGCTTTGTGCTCAGAGATCTCTTGTGATGAGGCAATGAGCTGGACTGGAGTGATAGTACAGTGAACAGGGCATTTGCACTGTATGTGGCCTACCTGGGTTTTATCTTCAGCATCCCCTCTGGTACCCCGAGCACCGGCAGGAGTGATTCCTGAGTGCCGAGCCAGGAGTACGCTGTGAGCATCTCCAGGTATATTCCACCCCCCCAAAAAAAATAAAAGAAAAGAAAAGCCCTGAGCTGTCCTCCCTTCCCGACCCCCTACAGTTTGCATTTCTGAGCCATTCAGCTGTGCACATCTGGGTGCATCCTCGCCTGGCATCTCCAGGTCCTCCAGATGTGGAGGAACCCAGGCTTCAAGCTGCCAGGCCCAGAGTGCTGGAGAGGGGTGGGCCAAGTTCTGATAGCTGGGGCTGGAGATCAGGGGGGACAAGGGTTTGGAGTGGGGTCAGGGAGAAGGAGCCTGTGTCCTCGCACAGGTGGGGTCCGGCAGGCATTCTGGGCCTGGCACCAACTGGAGACTCCAAGCCCAAAGCTATCTGCCCTGGGCATCAGCAACCTGGACTTAGAAAGGGCAAGTCAGATGCTTGGCCAATGCCCTGCCCTTGTCGGGGCCGAGATGGCAGGCGAGAGATTTGCGTTCACTCCTGGCACTCGTGCTGAATGGCCAGGTTGTCCCCGTGCTGGGCAACTCTGAGCTGGACACTCAGGACCATTATTAGGAGGCAGGTGGGAGAGGGGACAATTGGCCATGGGAACTGGACAGCAGGGAAAGAGGAACGAAGGTGGGTGGGCACCCCTCCTGCCAATCTCCCTGAATAGTATATTCATTGTTTCTAATTTCTTCTTAATTGTATTCTGGTTTTTGATGTGTTTCTTTAGACCACACTCCTTCCCTGGGGTCCAATTCTTGACTTGTTCTGTCCTAGACCAGCTTCCACCCTCTCCTTGCTCTGGAACTCACTTCAAGTTGGGTGGACCCAATGTCTATACTGGAAAGAACTGGGCAGGGGACAGGCAAGAGCTCTGGGTTAGAGCACTGGTACACATGGTCCCCCGAGCATGGCTGGGAGCCAGCCCTGAGCACAAAGAACTGTTGGGAAGGGATCAGTTTAAAATTTAAAAAAACTCCCACAAAAACTGAGACGATAGAAAGATAGTATAGAGGGCTGGGGCAATAGCACAGAGGGGAGGGCGTTTGCCTTGTACACGGCCAACACGGGCTTGATCCCCAGCATCCCATCTCCGTGCACTGTCAGGAGTAATTTCTGAGTGCAGAGTCAGGAGGAACCCCGAGCATCACGGTGTGTGACCCAAACAAACAAACAAACAAAAAAAGATAAGAAAGATAGTATAGAATTAAAGTACTTGCCTTGCAATCAACCACTTCTAGCCAACCCTGGTTTGATCCCTGGTACCACACATGGCCCCCTGAGCACCACCAAGGATTACTTCTAAACACAGAGCCAGGAGTAGCCCCTGAGCACCACTGTGTGTGGCCCATACCCCCCCAAAAAACAACTGAAATGAATCATAGAGCACAAAACACACATATAATCACACACACACATAACCAGTAAATTTTTTTCCTTTGGTTTGGAGCTTTGGAACTTTTTCCTCCATGATGTTTCCACCAAACAAATAATCTCTGGTTTGTCCTACTCCCTGTTTCTACCATACACACACACACACACACACACACACACACACACACACCAGAGGCTGTTTAAAATCTATGGCATCTGCAGGCTGGAGAAATAGTAGAGAAAGTATTGCATTGCCTTGCACACCGCTGATCTGGGTTCAAATCCCCTGCATTGCAAAAGATCCCCTGAACACCATCAGGATTGATCCCTGAGCACCCCTGGAAATGGTCCCAAAACAAAAATAAAATGCAAATATAAGCTATGGCATTGAAGGGTCTAGAGAAACGTACCCTACAGGACCCCAGTATCTTTCTCCAAAGCATTTTCAAAACAGTCTTTCCTTGGAATTGGAGAGCTAGTACAGTGGGTAGGATACTTGCCTTGTAGGCAACCGACCTCCCTTGCACCCGCCTCCAAGCCCTGCCAGGATGAGCACAGAGCCAGGAATAAGACCTGAGCACGTCCAGGTGTGGCTCCCAAACAAAACAAAACAAACAAACAAACAAACCAGTCCTGTCCTCCCTGGGAATCCATGCCCTTATCTGAGCACTCTAGGCTGAAATAAAACCACTCCTCCAGGAGCAAAGGGACCAGACCCACTTCAAGGCTCATTCTCCTTGCACTCCTTTTCCCAGCGAAGGGTCCCATCACAAAGGAGCATCACTCCCCTCGACAATGAAACAAGATTTGACCACGGAAAACACCCTAAGCCAGAAAAATAGGCATGTCTCGCCTCCTTTAAGAGGTGCTGTTGGGGCTGGAGCCATAGCACAGCAGGTAGGACATTTGCCTTGCATGTGGCCGATGCTGGGTTCGATTCCCAGCATCCCATACGGTCCCCCGAGCACCTCTAGGAGTAATTCCTGAGTGCAGAGCCAGGAGTGACCCCTGTGCATCGCTGGGTGTGACCCAAAAAGAAAAAAGAAGAGGTGCCGCATGGCAGCCAGGCCCCCACGCCCTGTCAGGAAACTTCCCGCTGATTGGGCTGATGGCCTGGGCTACATGGCCTCCACGATCCTCAGGGTCAGGCTGAACGGCAAGCTCTGGGCGGGGCTGGGAGAGCCCCCGGACCTACCTCTCTCTAGCCTGGAACTCAGTTTCCAGCTCGGGCACTGGCCGAGACAGAGCCATGCGCAGAGCTGTCCCACACCCTGGAGGGCCAGAGAGGCAGGGGGAGCCTTCCTGCAACCTCCCCACCCCGGGCTGCCTGCTCGTTCCCGTCAACTATCACCCAATTCCACAGAGGCTTGGGAAAGGCTGCCCCTTCCTAATCCCTCAGCCACATGAGGTGCTAAGCTGGTCACCAGGTTCCAGACAGAGCTCTGATGCCCTCACCCCCCAGCTCCTTCACCCCTTCCCTGAAGGGAGGATTCCCAGGGCAGTTCCGCAACCAGCCTGGGGAGTGGGCAGAGCTAAGTTAGCAGTGGGACAATGTCCCTCCTTCGTTCCCCAGGCGTGGGAGCCAAGTCCTGTCATCGCAGGCTGTTGGCCACCTCCCCCATCCGCCTCTTCCCACCCTTCTGGAAAAAGTCCAGGTCACTTCCAACTGTGGGGCCAGTCCCCAGTTACTGCAACCTGAGATGCCACCTGGGTCAGCTCTGAGCAGGTCCCTCACCGTGCCACATCTCCACCCTGTGCCCTGCACCTTCCCCCCAGACCCTCAGGACAGGGAGTCAGATGCCTGTGGAGGCTCCGACTCCCCTGCAAATAGTCACATCTTGGGTTGGAACCATAGTAGAGCGGGGAGGGCATCTCCTTTGCACGAGGCTAACCCAAGTTCTATCCCCGGTACCCATATGGTCTCCTGAGTCTGCCAGGAGTGAGCCCTGAGCAGTGCCAGGTGTGCACCGCCCCCCCCCCAAAAAAAAATCTTGCATTAAGATACTTCCCAGCCTGGAACCCATGAAAGAATTTCCCCATAGACTGGAGAGATAATACAGAGGTTAAGGTAGAAGTTAAGGTGCTTGTTTTGCCAGCAGCTGGCCCCGCAATTTGATCCCCAGCACCACATAGGATCCCCTAAGCACCAACAGGAGTAAATCCTGAGCACCACCAAGTATAACCCAAACCCTCAGCGCCCTAAAAAAAAACAACCACTCCTCTCCACCTTTACCTTGGCCACATTCTTCTGCCCACTCCAGCCGAGGCTGCCGACTCAGGGTCTCCAGCCCCGAAGAGCAACCTGTGAACCCGACCTGGTCAGACCCTTCAGGAGCTGGTACAGCCCTCTGGGACTCCACAGAGCCTGGGAGTCCCTGAACATAAGTGGAGGGGCAACAACATCCAGTGTTGGGGCAGCAGGGTGAAACCCCAGGAAATTTCTAGAAAAGAGAGTTTGTGCTCAGGGCTAGAGACATAGTACAACGGAAAGGGCATTTGCCATGCATGCAGCTGACCCAGGTTCGATTCCCAGCATCCCAAATGATCCCCTGAATCTGATAAGAGTGATCCTGGAGTGCAGAGCCAGGAGGAAGCTCTGAGCACCACTAGGTACGTCCTCCACCTAAAAAAAGAGGTTTTGCTGCATATATGCAGCCTCTCTTCGATTCCAGCCAGGGACTGGGGTCAAGAAAGGGAGCCCAGAGCCCAAGGTACGAGTTCTTAAGACCAGAGCGTCAGCTGCATGAGCTGCAGAACTCCCCTCCATTAACCTCTTTCCACCCATCCTCTCTAAAGCTGACACCCACCCTAAGAAGCAGCTGTGACTTCCCTGGGGACTGACGCCACATACCCAAGATTACACAGAGAGTAAATTGTGGCCCCCAAGTCCCAGGTCCCATCCGATGTGGCTCTAAGCTGCCAATCACAAGTCTATATGCCGTGCTCCAGCAGAAAGTGCCCTGGGCACTGGACATATCTGCCTAGGTCTGTTCCCTGCAGTGTCCTTAATGACTTTTAGGGGAACTTCCATTCCCAGCATCTTTTGCATCCCCGGGACTCCCCAAGGGGCAGGACAGTGGGTGCAGGGTGCAGCCACCCTCCTTCCAGGCCAGGGTGGCATAGCACAATGGCTCTCACCTCCCCCGTTTTTGTAGCAGAGATAGGGAAACCTCCAGACGTTGCCCAGGCCGATGATCTCCCCGGCCACAGACAGCACAAACTCCATCTTGTTGTTCCAGTGCTCCCGTTCCAGTGTGCCATCTTCTTCCGCCTTTTCCATGACTGGGAACGCTGGTTTTGTCTCTCCATTACTGGCTGTGCCCGAGACCCTGCTATCCATCCCACCTGGAAAACAGAAGGGGCTCTGTTATAGTGGGGAGCTCTGGGGGTGGGGGGAACCTTCCACTGCAGTTCCTGAGGGAACAGATGCTCCCAGGAGTTGGTTCATGCTTTCTTGTCCATAGATCAAGTCTTTCCGAGAAGCCCTCGCCGACAAGGTTGAATAAAAGATGCAGAGAATCTAGATTTGCAGGGAATAGAGGTGCTTTTCCTGCTTGAGGAAAGGAGCAGGGCCCTGGGGTACAGGGACAACCTGTAGGCTGGGGTGGCACATTCTCCCAACCACCTGATGACCAGTCTTGCCCGTGCTAGGACAATTCATTTTCTCTCGGAGGCAGAGGACCGCTGAGAGGAAGAGGGTTCCAGAGGTCCCCAAAGCTATGGGTTTCCCTTGCTGGGATTCAAGTTGAAGGAAGCGGGCGGGCAAAGATTTGACGGGGAGCGTGTTCACTGCTTACAGCAGCAAGAAATGAAAAAGAATCTAAATGACCCAAATGGTAAATAGGAGACTGGAGAAACAGCACAGTGGGTAGGTCAGTTGCCTTGCGTGCGGCCAACCTGGATTTGATCTCTGGAACCCCAAATGGTCCTCCAAGCCTGCCAGGAGTGATTCTTGAGCACAGAGCCAGGAGTAAGCCCTGAGCACCACTGGGTGTGGCCCAGGAACAAAACAAAAAGCTTAAAAAAAAAACCACCAAAATGTAAAATAGGTGAATAAATAATGGCCCACACATGCAAAGGACCTCTATGTACTCACTAAAAGTTGTGTTGTAGGGGTCAGGGAGAGAGCCCAAGGACTAAAGTGCAGGCCAGGCATGCAGGAGGCCTGGGGTTGACCCCCAATACCATAGGGGTCCCTGAGCAGCGCTGATAGACACAGTCCCGGGGCTCCCCAGCACTGCTGGGCCCGAGCAGCACCACACTGCCAGCCTGAGTATTAAAAATCAAATTCGGCTTGGAAATGATCCCTCTGGACAAGTGGGAGCTGAAAGGGAGTAAAGTGATAAGCTCGATATCCTTTCAGCAACAGTATTGCAAACCACAGGGCCTATAAGGAAAATAAGGAGAGAGAGAGAGAGAGAGAGAGAGAGAGAGAGGTGTCCGCCGTGGAGGCAGGTTGCAGGGGCAGGGGGTGCAGAGTGGGCTGCGCGGGGAGGAACCGGGGACATCGGTGGAAGGAAGTAGATACTGGTGAAGGTGAGGGTTGGGTGTTGGAAGATTGTATGACTGAAACTCAATCATGAACAACTTTTCGACTGTGAACTTCGTGGTGATTCAATTAAAAAATAAATAAAATGAAATAAATTATTTTATTGTTAAAAGTCAAATCCCATTGGTTGTGCATCACCAGGAGTGGCCTCCAGGTTCCCTGAATACAACCTGGCCCCTTCCAAAGAAAATAACCAACTTGTGTTGCAGATAAAAAGTAATAAAATGAAAAGGTCCTCACAACATGTACATGAAAATCATGGTAAAACCGCACATACAACATGAGCACATTCGAAAATTACTTTCTAAAGTATTTAAATGTATTGAAAGCTTAGAATATGCACCCAAATTTTCCCCTTACAGTGACTGGATTATAGGAACTAAATTCCACTCTTTTTCCTACATACTTATTTAGGAGTATATTTTTATAAGGTGAAAAAAAAAAGACACTTTTGGGGGCTGGAGTGATAGCACAGCAGGTAGGGCGTTTGCCTTGCACGCGGCCAACCCGGGTTCGAATCCCAGCATCCCATATGGTCCCCTGAGCACCACCAGGAGTAATTTCTGAGTGTAGGGCCAGGAGTAACCCCTGAGCATTGCCGGGTGTGACCCAAAAAGAAAAAAAAAGAGACACTTTAACTTTTGGGGGGAGGGGTTGTTGGGCCACACCGGACAGTGCTCAGAGCTCACTCCAGCTCTGTGTTCAGTAATCACCCCTGGAAGGGCTCAGGAACATTGGGGGTCAAACCTGTATCAGCTGCATATAAGGCAAGTGTCCTACTGCCTAAACTACCTCTCTAGTCCCACCTCCCCTACCCAACCCCCAATATCTTAAAGAATAAGAGATGCAGAGTGGAACCAGAAGCTCTTTTCTTTGCTCCATCTCTCAAATCAACATGAGAGAAACTTTTTCTCTGGCGAGGTGACACACAGAGGAATCTGGGACTCCAGGTAAGTTAAACAAGAAACCACGGCACACAACATGTCCCTCTCAGGAATTCCTTGCTGGTTAAGGACATGATGACTTCCCTTTATTGGGCAACTCTTCTAGGCCAAGCACATCACACGCGTAGACTTCCTAGAATGCCCACAGCACCCCCTGGGAGAAAAGCAACACTCTCTCCACTTTATGAGTGAGGAAAAGGTGCTCTGATACCTCCCACAAGGTGACAGTCCGTAGGGCAAGCAAATGACATCGTCGGGATTTAGACCCACGCTCCCCCTGCTCTTCGATTCTATTGGCTGCCCATATTTATCATCGCGTCTGGTAGGATCCTCTTTACCGACTCTCCTCAGGCTGTCGGCAGGAATCTTCTCAGTGGGACCCCAACTCTCCCGGAGCTCTGCCTTCTCCCTTGGATACTTGAGGGATTTGGAAAGCCAGAAGGTCAAGGAACGGGAGGGTTCTTTGTGTCTTGGATACTTTAGGAAATAGGTCACCCAAAATGGGAGAATTCTAGGGAGAATGCCAAGCAACTGGTTACCCAGATGCCTCTGTCCTTTTGAAGATGTGGCTGAACCCCTTAAGCCTTTCTGGGCCTCCTGGAGCATCAAACTTTTCCAGTGACAGAACATCACCCACCTTCACTTTTTCATCCTCCCTGAAACAGTGGCCCTTCCCAGGGACCCTTCAGCTCACAGGTATGCTTGTAGAGTCAGACAAGTTGGGGTTTCTCACTCCCTGTCCTGAAGAATGTTGGCTAATGGCTCTCAGCCTCAACTTTCTCATCTGTGAAAGGGAGAACGCTCTGGTACTCAAACAAGCTGGTAGACAGACACTAGGAGTTAGACATGGAAGCACTTAGAAGGACAACAGACACTCACCTTTTAATTTCCTTCCTAGCCCATCCAAGCTTTTATGTTCTTTCAGTCTTTCTAGCTCGTCTCATTTAACAGAGGAGAAAGTGGTTACGTTCTTGGAATTAACCCAAACGTCTTTTGCTCTTGGTTCTCTTTCTCCAGATCACATTGTGCCTCTGACCCACCACCACTAAGGTTTCAGAAAGACAAGCACGGAGCAGGAAAACCTCAGATCGATCGTCTACGACCAAAGGGTCCCCAAATTCCTTGATTCTGAGTCCTGTGACTGACCCCAACCTCTCTCAGAAACAAGGGGGGAGAGAGAGAGAGAGAGAGAGAGAGAGAGAGAGAGAGAGAGAGAGAGAGAGAAGTTAAAACTTACCAACCTGAGAGAAGTTGCCAGAGGTGCCGTGGGGGAAGAAAAGGATCCTCTAAGGGAAGGGAAAGGTGCTGGCTATTTAAAGAGTGGTTCAACTCCTTGGCTCTCCTGTAATTCTAAACTTGGCCCAGCCCACATTCTCTCCTTCCGCCTCCCCCAGGCTCCCCTCCCCTCGGGCACCAGACAGCCCCGCACACTTGAGCGGTTCCGCAGCCCGGAGGGGGAGCCGGGAGCCGGTGCACCGGTTAGGCAGCTGCTGGGGAGCTTGGGGGGCTCTTGCTCTTGGAGGCCTCGGGAGTCCCGCCTGCTCCCCACTTTCTTCAGACCAACAAGGCTACACCACCCATCTGGAAGAGGTAGTTTTAGGTGGGGAGGGGAGACCTTAAAGCTTGTTCTCTGGAAGGGACAGTGATTTCAAATAGACACGGATACCAAGACTCAGAGAGTCAGAAAACCTTTTAAACATACACACATACACACATACTCACACACGTAGACACACAACACACACATGCACACCCTACACTTGCATGCATACTCATAAACATACACACATACACATATGTACACACACACATATGTACACACACAATATACACATGTATGCTCACACATACACACAATCACATACACACATAATTCACACATACACACATGATTCACACACATATACACTCGCATGTGCTCACACGTACACACACTAGTACACATATACACTCATACATACACATATACATGCACACACTCACACACACATTCACATACACCCCAAGATTTACTGGGAAAAGTCCAGACCGCTCGTTTGTTCCCTAAATGGTTAATAGTAGTTACCGTTGGACAGTGGGTCGAGGGGTCAGGAGATGATCTAAGGGACTTTGCCCAGCTCTGCATTTCATCTTCCTTATTGTGTAAGTTTTTCAGTAATGGGCCAGGATTAACTTGTTCATAATTTTTTTTTAACAAGAGAGTAAGAAAGTGCCAAGGTTTCAAGCAAGCCCCGAAGCAGCCTTGTGTGAGGGGATCAGGGGGGGCTCGGGGAGCGAGCCTCCAGCTCTGCTGTGAGGCTGGAGCAGCCATGGGAGTGCGGTGGAGAGAGAAAAGACCCTTTTACTCAGGAGCCAGAGCCACAGCACAGCGGGGAGGGCATTGGTCTTGCACGAGGCGGATCTGGGTTCACTCTCGGCATCCCATATGGCGCCCCTGAGCCCACCAGCAGTAATTCCAGAGTGCAGAGCCAAGAGAATCTCTTGAGCAACGCAGAAAGAAAGAAAGAAAGAAAGAAAGAAAGAAAGAAAGAAAGAAAGGAAGGAAGGAAGGAAGGAAGGAAGGAAGGAAGAGAGAGAGAGAGAAAGAAAAAGAAAGAAAGAAAGAAAGAAAGAAAGAAAGAAAGAAAGAAAGAAAGAAAGGAAGGAAGAAAGAAAGGAAGAAAGAAAGAAAGAAGGAAAGAAAGAAGGAAGGAAAAAGAAACCTTCTTCCACGCAGCAGGGCCACTTGTGTTTTGGCTGAGAGCGGTTGGGCACAGGCGTGCGGAGCCATTGAAACCAGGGCTGTGGTCCTGTCCTGCTTCGGTCCTTCTCCAGCCATGCCCTGGAGCCAAGGATCCCACACCTGAA